AGGATCGCTGGAGTCCAGCAGGTCGAGGCTGCGGTGGCCGGGAGTGGCCACTGCACTCCAGTCTGGGTGACAGAATGAGACTCCAACTCAAAAAAAAGAAAAAGAAAAATATTGTAACCCCTCTAAACTTTTCTGTCTCTGCCTATGCCTTAACTTCTGCACTTCGACTCTCCGACCCCATTCCTTTGGAGTCTGTGTTTCCAGATGGCTAATGTTCAAGTTTTGCCCACAAATAAACTCTATATTTAATCATATTTCCTCAATCTCACTACTTAAGGTTAACAAAACTAAAGCACAGATGTCACTAGGCAGTTTGTAGGTGGGTTGATCTATCATTCCATTCCCTGAAACTCCCATTCACCACTAACTATATTCAAGATGAAGGTACGGTTAAATCAAAATGTGTTCACTGTTGTAGTGTCAATGCTATGACAAATGGCAGAGATCTGAGGGGTAGTATACCCTAGGAAATATGAGTGAATAGGTACCCCACAACCTTGTCAATCATTTCATATCCTTAGAATCTCCAGAGTATAGTTTCTGTTAAATAAATATATGTTGACTTGATCCACTGGAAATTTGTCACTGAAATAGCATGGATACAGGAGGTTTGGGTAAAAGCATAAAACCACTTGAGAAATGATGTCCACAGGTATGGCTAGTGCCCTATTCCAAATCAGCAGGAAACACACTCATCATATATAGGAGGATGTTTTACTGTGGTTTTCATACCCTAGAAATTCAACCAGAAGAATTGGAATTAAAAAAAAGACTGAGATATTTGGGGCAACAGACAAAATTTCTTCAATCTTTTGTTTCCAGGATGATGCTCTGTGGATGTTTTTAAAAGAAAATTTAAGTGCTCTTTTTTGTCAAATAGAAAGTAGCATTTGGCTACTAAATAGTCCAAGTTTCAGCTACATAGGACCTACATTTGCAAGCAACAGTTAATGAAATAGAAAACTCAGTGGCAAATATCTAATAGATAATGAGTGCCATCTTAGGTACACATGTGCTGGTAATTTGAGCAATTCCCTTCATCACCCTATGTTTTTGTCACATAATTTGCAGATGGGGTAAAAAAAAATTACCTCCCATATATTTTATGATTACTTTTATAATATAGAAAGATGATGGAAGCAAAGTGTTTCAAAATGCTTTATTTACTTTCTTTCTTTCTCTCTTTCTATTTTTTTTTTTTTTTTTTTTTTTTTTTTGGCGTCTCACTCTGTCATCCAGGCTGGCATGCAGTGGCACAATCATGACTAACTGCAACCTTGATCTCCTGGGCTTAGGCGATCCTTCCACCTCAGCCTCCCAGTAGCTGGGACTACAGGTGTGCACCAGCACACTCAGTTAATTCTTTTATATTTTGTAGGAATGAGATCTTGCTGTGTTCCCCAGGCTAGTCTTGAACTCCTGCACTCAAGCAATCCCCCTGCCTTGGCCTTCCAAAGGGCTGGAATTACAGGTGTGAGCCACTGCGCCCAGTCAAAAGACTTTATTCTTAACATCTCCAAAACATCTGATAAATGATGTTGAAATATGTTTTCATTTCCATCTGAATATTTTGTTATACTCATATGCTTAGCCTCCATCATTGTCCATGGACTCACTCTGCCCCACAATCCAAAAAGCCTACACTTGGGTTATCTATAAATAATATAAAATCAGCACACTTCCCTGAATCACCACCTCATCCCCTCTCAGCCCACATTTATACTAGGGTGCTAAAGTGTGCAGCAAAGTCCTCTGAGAGTTTGTAAGAGACCCTACTTACCTTATGGGAAAGAAGTAAACATAGGGTGCTCCTCTCACCTGGGAGGGAACAGTTTTCACCCTGCAGATAATGAGTGGGAAAATACAGAAGCATATTTTTTCTAAAATCAAGATTTAAATAATAATGTAAGGCCTCCAAAAGGAATAGATTGCCCAATGCCCATGATTCATGGGGGGGAAAGTATTACTGAGACAACACCCACTTCATACTTACATACCTTACCTCATTTAATCTCTTCTACAACACTCTGAGGTGAGATTATTACCCCCATAATACAGATGAAAAATTCTAGGCTTCGAGAGTTAACCAGTGAGAATCGAAATAAGTTCCAAAACAAGATGTGGTGATACTGTCTCTCCCATGCCTGATTAATACCCAGAGAAGGTGCTCAGACATTCAGTACACTGTAAGAAGATTCCTGGGTGATGTGAGAAATGGGGTTTTTATTATCTTTGAAACAAAAATTTCCAAATATGTCTATCAGGATCACCTAGAGAGTTTTTTAAAAACAGAGATGCCTGGACCCACACCTGGTATTTTTGATTCAGGAAGTTTAGAGAGTTCTTGGAAATTTGTATCATAAGGGTTCTGGTGCACAATCAAGGTTTGGAAATACTGTTCTTAGTAACTTTCAATTCCAAGATGCATTGATTTTCTAAGATTGGCCAGCAAAGATATTTTGGGGTGAGGGATAATTAATCTAAGTATAGGACAGTTATCTTTGTAGGAAAATATTTACAGCTGTTCAAAGTAACCTGCTATGGCAGTCGACAGACACTGCCAGGGGAGGGAGGGAGCACGTAGCATCACAAAGGGTACCTGGTCCTAAACCAGGGAAGTGAGAGCCAGTTGGAGGTCCAAACTTCACCCACACAGAGCCTGCTTGTGTAACCAATCCTGATGTGTACTCCACATATCTATATAAAAATAAATAAATAAAAATGACAATGAAGATGAAAAAAATTTTTTAAAGTAACCTGCTAAAAAGAGCAAAATCATTAATTCCATCAGGATGTGTGTCATTTGCTCTGTTTTTTCCAGAAGTTTGCCTTGCTGTCCTAGTCAGCTCTCTTATAAACACTTTGACTATGAGAAAAGACCAAGAAGGTAAAAATGCCTGAGCAAACTCTTCCTTTTCAAAAAGCAACTCAAAGTCTGTGTTAAAATCCTCACCCTTGTTCATCCCCCACTCATGAAGAACCAACTTGCATTCAAGATGGAGTACTACAGTTTTACTAATATTGGCTCATACCTCTTTGAAAAACTACCAAAAGTCACAAATAAAGGAGCTTTGAGAAAGAGTCACTCATGTTGTCTCACTTTTTTATTTGACATCCATGACATAGCCTACAGACTGCCCAGGGCCTTTGTGTGATTGAAATAGTTCTATAGGTCCCCTACAATTGTGGATAAATCACAAAGATGAGGAAAACACAAGACATAGCAGAGATATCCAAAAGCAGACACCTTCAAACAGAAGGAAACCACTTCCCATCCAGAGTGCAGAGGACAGGATCACACTCAAAAGTAAGGTGCCCACCTGCTTCTCTTTGATATCAATTCTCACTTGGTACAAAGTCCAAGAGAGTCACCCCAGCAAGTCATCCATGTGACTCTCATGTCACCCTCACTCAGGCTTCCCCAGCCTCTTTCTCCCACCCCAGCAGCTTCTTCATTGCCCCTTTCACATCCTTGTTCCTCAGTGTATAGATGAGGGGGTTGACACTGGGAGTGACGATGGTGTAGAAAAGAGTGAGGAACTTCCCTTGATCTTGGGAATAGCTGCTGGCCGGTTGCAGGTACATGTAAATGATGGTTCCATAGAAGAGGGAGACCACGGTCAGATGAGAAGAGCAGGTGTTTAAGGCCTTCTTGTGCCCTGTTGCTGACTTGATCCTCAGAACAGCAGCAGCAATAACGCTGTAGGAGATAAGGATCAGGGAGAGAGGCACCAGGAGGAGGGCGACTCCAAAGGCAAAGGCAAATGCTTCCACCAGCATGGTGTCTTCAAAGGACATGGCAATCAAAGCAGGCATCTCACACAGGAAGTGGTCCACCCTGCGACGCCCGCACCGGGAGAGTTGCATTGTCTGAGGACACATAACAAAGGGGTTTAGGAAGCCACAACACCAGGCCATGGTCACCAGCTGCAGGCAGAGACGGGAGTGCATGACCACCATGTAGTGCAGGGGTCGGCAGACAGCCACACAGCGGTCATAAGACATGACAGCCAGGAGGACACACTCAGTAGAACCCAACACCATGTAGATGTAGAGCTGGGCCACACAGCCATGGTAGATGATGGTCTTCTCTGGACCCCAAAGATTCCACAGCAGCGGGGGGACAATACTTGTTGTAAAGCAGAGGTCCAAGAAAGACAAGTTCCCAAGAAAGAAGTAGATGGGTGTGTGGAGTCTGGCATCCATGACGGACAAGAGGAGGATGGCAGTGTTGCCCACCAGAGTCAGGACGTAGAAGACCAAAACAAAAGCAAAGAGAATTCTCTCCAGTCAAGGGTGATCAGAAAAACCCACCAGGATGAATGCCTATAGGTAGCAGTCATTGTCCCTTCCCATAATCTTCACCAGCTGTTATGGAGAAACAAAAAAAAAAATTTGGATAAGCAGGAAAATGAAGATTAGCCAGCACTCGCCAAGTCTCCTTTACAGGCAAAGTTAAGAAAGTCATGTGCCCTTTCTTTACTTTTCTAACACTATGCTTATTGATACCTATTTGCATAGATACTGATACCTATGCAAAGCAGTGTGCATGCTGCCCCAGAGGACAGAATATGAATTGACTCTACAGCTCCCTTCCTTGGTGAATAATATATGTAAATATGTAAATAATGGCAAAGAAGGGAGAAAGATTTTTTTTTTAAAGAAGATTCCTGAAAAGTTTGAGTATTATGTAAATTACTCTCAATTGACCAAAGACACCACAGTTCAAAAGTTTGTGTCAAGGGAGACTGCTGGATCTGAGAGTTGGTTTGGCCTGAGTTCCAAATAACAAGTAAGAATTTGACATGTAACAGACCGAGCAAAATATGTTTCAAGTAGAAAGCAGCATGTGCAAATGCAGGAAGGACCAAATTCACGGGTGATGCTCAGTTAATTTGTGCATATGTGTATGTATCAGCAACTCCTTAATGGCGTGTATTTTATTAAGACCCTCAGCAAAGCCCTATGAACTCAATAATTTTTGACTCTACAAAAAAGGATTGAGATGGAAGACCATCCTGATTCTGCCTCTACAAGAGGCAGACGTGCAAATGTGTGACCTACAATTCAGTTTACAATTTGACTTTTCCTCATATAAGACAAAAAAGAAACTGGATCCAAGTCCCCACCAGCCCTCACATGTCTACGTGACTTGTGGCATTTGGTGTACGCCCTGAGCACTTCCAGCTTGTCACAATTTCCACATCCTAAGCCAAGGGCTTTGATGGGGACTCCGCATTATAGTGCCAATGTCCACCAAGACTTGTATCCACTATGACAACAGCAAATTACATCTGGGTAGCATACAAGAAGAAAGCAGCAGGAATGAGGGCACAGAAACATTTTGAAGGATGCATGTCTCCGTGCAGCTGCTGTCACCACCCATCAGTCCTGACAGTGGAAGTGTCATGAGCTGCAGGGGAAATTCTTAAGTCCCCATTAATTGGTTCAAGCACCAGACCCTCAGCAAAGCCCTATGAACAGTTATCAGAAGTAGCCAGCCTAGAAACAAAGGATGAAAGACCTTCAGAGGCTGCCTGCGTCCTCACAAGAGAGACTTTAATATACACATTTTGCAGATGCTGGTTGTGAAGACCAATGTGTATATCCACATTCACAAATGTATAGCAAGTTTTCACCCAAGTTCAAGATACCAAGAGTGATAATCACAAGCTGCACAAATTGTTTGTCAAAGTTTGTCACTTAGGGCCTGACTCCTTCATCAAAATCTCAAATTTACTTTGTAGTCATCTATTCAGATTTTTTGTTGTTGTTGTTGTTGTTTGTGAGTTGGAGTCTCACTCTGTCGCCCAGACTGGAGTGCAGTGGCCGCTCCCGGCCACCGCAGCCTCGACCTGCTGGGCTCCGGCGAT